GGCACTTCGAGTTCCAGCCAATTATACTTCCTTGCTCTGCCACAGACTTCCTGTGGGGTCCTGGGTAACTCGGTTAGCCTCTTTGTGCCTCAGTTTAGCATCTATAAAATGAAGAGCAAGACACTTCCCTAACAACACTAGAGCATTATGAGAATAAATGCATTGAGTTATGATAATAGTAATGGGGCCAAGCAGTAGCTATCTACTACCTCAGATAGCTAGTATCATAGAATATTTTAGTTTTCTATTGTTAAAAGGACTAGTCTCAGAGAACAAAAGCCATAATTTAGATTGCCGTCTCTTTGCAATAGGGGCTGCCTTTGTGATATATTTTTATACAGTACACATAGTCCATTGCTGGAGCTGTCAGGAACTACTACCCTCAAGCAGCAACCCCATACTAATTAATGCTTAAGGTACCAATCCTGCAAAGATGGACTGATACAAGCTGATCCATTGGCCCAAACCGAGTTCTATTCGCTGGACTTGACCTGGGAATAGGGCCAGCATGGAATTCATGGCAAGATTAGGGTTTTCATTTAAACCAATTCAAGGAAAGAAACATTTAACAAGGTGGAGGGTTAAGTTTTTACATGAATTTCCCTGGCTTAAGTTGTTTTGAGGGAATACATTTTCAAAGCAGCTCATGACTGGAACAGATGGGCATAAACAAGAAAAGTACTGTTGCGTATGTCTGTGTCTTGCAATTCAAAATTTCAACTGGCAGGGCAATTTTTTAGCTAGCCAATCTTGGCTAGATCCCTTTGGTGATAAAAATAGGATCCAAAAGGATCACGGTCTACCAGCCTCGTATTGGCTCAGAAGTGCAACTTATTCCAATACCACCCTGGAATGCATTCAGATCTGATTACAAGTTCCCCCTTTAAAATTTTTGCTAGTCTAGTATTTACAATACTCCTTGCATTGCCTAATAGGAAACACCTAGGATAGTGCAAACACTAAGGTAAAACTATTTAGTTATCCAAAGGAGCAGAACATGTTTAAGGGTGACTATTTTACAGCATGACTTCTACAAAAAGATCCCCAATATTCAGGGTACAATTACCGCAGACCTTATTTTAACCCCAAGTACAGCAGTTTTTGAGCATGCATGAGTGAATCTGAACCAACCTGCCTACACTGCATATAGCAGGATAAGACAAATGCTGATTTAGGACATAGCTACAGTAATCTGTGACGCTGCAACAAATTCCAGCCAGTTTCCACGTCTGGTCTGATTTGATGCCACTAGGTGTCACTGGAGGGCTACAAAGGCCCATACATGCACACGCACATGCACTCACGCACGCGCACATGCGCACTACTACATAAAGCATTTCAATCCCCCAGAAATATGAGCCTTATCCTGAGATGAGAAACATACCATGGCTTTTAGCACAGTTAAAATTAGAGGTAGGGCCAGCTCCACCATTTCCCTCTCAATATGGGGTACCCACGAGTATTTCATTACTAGCAGACTAGCTGGTTTTGAGCATTTTAACCTAATCTCCAGAAAACCCTGACTAGCAATACATCAGACGCTCGCTTCACTGAACAGCTGAGTGTGATAAGAGCTTGCTAAACTACACAAGGCTTCCAGTCCTCGCATGCCCCACCCACAAAAGTTCTCCTTTTTCATGCGGCAAATGCTCCCCACTCTGCTACTCAGTCCGCTTCATTATTATGTTTCATCTATTTGCTGAATATTAACATCCTTTCCCCCATTTTGGTGCTTGAGGGATTCTGCTCTCTGTGACACTGGTACAGATCAGATGCGACTCCATTGAATACAATAGGGTTACACTGAGTACAGCCTCTCTTGAGAGGCAAATCCAGATGAGTTTCTAGAGCCAGTAGTAATCAGACACTTTTACATCAACAATAAAACCTAGTTCTTGCATGTGTCTTTACATCAGTAGATCTCAAAGCACTTAAAAAAGCAGGAGTATATCATCAGTGCTATTTCGCAGAGGGATAACTGAGGCACAGAGAGAGGCTGTCACTGCTCAAAGTCACTTCGCAGAACTGTGGCAAAACGCACATTTCCCAAGTCCCACTCCAGTATTTCTTGCTACAGCACACTGTGCCTCCCATGCTGAAGCAGTTCTGCAGCCATAGTCCAGTCTCAGTATCCCCTTACCTGCATACCACGTGCCACACTGGCTGATTGAAGTGGAAGCACCCATAGCTAGCTCTGGATTTGTATTCCTGCCCATGGACCTCATCCTCCTAAGGATCTCAATCTGATCTCCCAGATACCATTTGTTTCACTGCCTGAACACCTATGACTCCATTAGGTTTACTCCTGATCTACACAGGTGTAAAGTGAGGGTGGGACCAGGTACATACTTCATGTGCAAGGGGGAGGGGCGGGTTGTGCTTTGAAAACTCTGGTTCCTAACTCTGAGCCACTGATTCTTACTAAGAACTGCACTCCCACCTGTTTCAGCAAGGGCACGTATTAAAAACTGATGGCAGGTTATAACTACCTGAAGCCATTTAAACAACTCACTTGCTGAGCTCCTCCTGACAGATACAAACATATCTAAAAGTAAAATCTAGCCCTGTACAGAAATCATCCGGTACCCTTTAACCAGTGTACAAGCTGCCCTTTAGCCGACGTACAAGTTCCAGAGATAACCGGCCATTTAAGAATAAGTACCATAACCTGGGTTACTCTGCCTCAGACTTCAAGTGAGGCCTTGAGAAAGCATTTTAACTAAGCCGTTCTGGCTGTTTGTTGCTGAAGAGGAAGAGACAACTTTTGAAAACTGAATTTTCACAAGGAATCAATGCAAAGTTATGTTGCCTAATGGGAGCTCGAGAAAATTCAGGGATGCAGGTTTGGGTAGCAACAGCATATGCATAACTGTGATGGAACTGGGGAAATCTGCAGAGCTCAACTTCCCTCGAACTTCTACCACACCAGAGGGCTAGGCACCAGTCCACAATACTAATTAGCACCATGAACTTTTGTTGTGGGACCCTCCTAGAGTAACCTAACCACAGGCAGAAGGAAATGTTTATACATACACACACGCTGTTGCAGTGTGTGTGTGTGTGTGTGTGTGTGTGTGTGTGTGTGTGTGTGTGTGTGTGTGTGTGTGTGTGTGTGTGTGTGTGTGTGTGTGT